ACGCGAGGTTCGACTGAAGTACGAACGCGAGGTTCGTCTGAAGTACGAACGCGAGGTTCGTCTGAAGTTCGAACGCGAGGTTCGTCTGAAGTACGAACGCGAGGTTCGTCTGAAGTACGAACGCGAGGTTCGTCTGAAGTACGAACGCGAGGTTCGTCTGAAGCACGAACGCGAGGTTCGTCTGAAGCACGAACGCGAGGTTCGACTTGAGAACGAACGCGAGGTTCGTTAAAAATTGAGCTTGACGCTCACCTGAGTTGAACACAAGGTTCACCTTAGAACGAACGCGAGGTTCGTTAAAATTGAGCTTGACGCTCACCTGAGTTGAACGCGAGGTTCACTTTAGAACGAACGCGAAGTTCGTTGAGCGCGAGGCTCACTTGATAACGAACGCGAAGTTCGTTTGAACGCGAAGTTCGGTTAAAATTGAACGAACGTGAGGTTCGTTGAGCGCGAAGCTCGGTTAAAATTGAACGAACGCGAGGTTCGTTTGAGGTAACCACCTCCTTAATTTTCGCCATGAACCCTTAGGGTTTTAAACTGAAACCGCCGCCGACAAACCCAAAAATCTTTGATTTTTATTTTCAAAACAGATCCAGAATTGGAAAAATTGAAGAAAAAATCAAAGAAAAATCCAAAAAATTCCAAAAAAATTACTGTTCACCGGTGATTTTTCAGTTACTATTCATCCGAAAAAAATACTTCACTGTTCATCCGAAAAAAAAATTTCGCTACTGTTCACCGAACATTACTGTTCATCCGAGAACAAAAAATTAAATCTTTAACTAGAGATTTAAGATCAAAAAACCCAATAAAACTTAAATCCCTAAGAATTAATCAAGGTGGCTCTGATACCACTTGTTAGATCTACATCAAAACTTGAGATCTAAAACCATATAACCATGATTAATTCAAAGAGATTAACAAATAATCAAAAGAGCGGAAGCTTATACCTGAATCCATTGCTTGATCTTGAGATGGGTTTTGATCTTCTAACCTTAGGGTTCTCTCTAGCCGAATTTCTCTCTTAGATGGGGGTGAAGAGAATTAGAGAATGTAACCCTAGGCTAGGGACCATAACCCCTTATTTATAGATGTTGTACTTTTATAATTTAGCCCATCAATAAATTACAATTACAACCTGGTATCTGCACATATAACCCCATGACTTATTTAAATACCAAATTAACCCAACTTAATTGATCACTTTAGTGGGTTATCCTGAAAGATAGCAATACACATTGATTAATCATATGTGCCCACAAATAGATTTATTAGATTAAATCCAACACAATAATGCAATACTTGGCAACTCCAATTTCTTCACGAATTGCATTTTTCAATCTCACTGAAAACACATGGCAACTCCAATTTCTTCACGAATTGCATTTTTCAATCTCACTGAAAACACATGAAGTATTTGTTTTTTAATATCATGATTTGTATATTTGGCATTTTTGGGAGCTTTCGCAATTGCCTTTGAAAATTCGTCATTCTCCATGGCCAGCACATCCAAAAATTCAAGAAAATTGCCACGATTGGACGAACTAGATTTCTCATCGTGGCCTCTAAACGGAATCCCTTGGAGTGCAAGCAATCGCACCACAAGTATGTGAGCTCTTAACCGAAGACGATTTGTTGCAACTTGTTCAGCATTGAAGTTGTCGAATCGTCATGATATATGCTGCGGTTGGTTCATCAAATCCTCACATGCCTTTTCAGCATTACGATGGAGTGAAGATACATTATCTTTTCCTATTTCAATGAAACCCCCTTTATTAATCTCTTAAGAATAACCCCCTTTATTAATAAACCCCCTTAAGAATAACCATTCGCTAAATACCTCTTCATAAATTTCCAATTTCAATGAAACCTCCTTTATTAATCTTGTTGCTGCTCATGGTAATGTATTTACTATTAATATATACATAAAACCCCTCAAATAATTAATATTCACAAACTAATTTTTTCCCCAAATTAGGAATAGAGCACCCTAATTCCCCCCACCTCACCCCCCCAAAAAAATTTTTTTGAGGGGGCTTAAGGAATAGAGCACCCTATTTTTTTTTTCCAAATTTTGGGGGGACCGTGGCCCCCCCCTAGACTGTATGTAGATCCTCCCCTGATCATAATGACCAGTGGAGACTAGGAAAATCGTTGATATTTTCACTTATATCTTGCGTTATCTAGAATATTTTTACAAAACTTATTTCAATGGGACTTCTTTCCTTTGTGAATTTGACGTGTCATGAGCCCTTGCTTATTTATAAGGTCCAAACCTTGATTGAAGTCAGACAAAAATCTGGCTAGCCCAAGCCCAGCATTTGTCACGTCATAGATCAGCCCATAACAACAGCTTTCTCTTAAAAAAGAAATAATGGCCAGCTATAAAGTCCAAAGGATATTGTGAATGGGCCAGTCCAACTGAAGATTGTTACTTAAAGTAATGGGCCTAACCTAAATTAATGATCTAGGATTGGGCTTCAAGGTAATCCTTAGCCTGCTAATGCACTTGGTTTACATCGTTGGACTGGCGTGTGAATTTCTCAGCTCTTCGTAAATAATACGATCGAAACTCTACTTCGAGAAATGGCCAGCAAAGGGGATAATTTTTTTTAATAATTTTCTTTCTTTCTTTCGTTCTTTCTTTCCCTTTTTCTTTCGTTTTGTTGACTGAATTGGTAACTGATGGTATATTTTTTTATTATTTTTTAATAGATTTATTTAAATCAAAATATTACACATGTGATGATGGCAAGCGGGCAACAAGCCGCGTCGCTAATCCTTTTCTAATAGATAGATTTGCTTTGTATAGTATTTAGGCAAATTAAGATAGAATATTTAGATTTAACCATAACATTGAGGCGAATAAATTAGTACGTTCCTACAATTTACTAGTATGCGCGGTGTGTCCATGCATTTACAACGTGTATTATTTTAGCCCATACGTTTCACCGTGGACGACACCTGCCATTTGAGGGGTGAATAGTGTGAACCTATTTTCAACTCAATAAAAAAAAAAAAATCCAAACATACATAATATGATAAAACTCCAGAAATAAACCACGTGAGAGCACCAATATTGCTTGCTGGCCATGATGGAGAGGAGAAGACTCTTGGTTGTCGGTCATTTTTTCATCTTGTTTTGTCAGATCTACACCGGTAGATCTGAGTTGGATCGGTCGAGAACATTGTCTATATATAGATAAACGGGTTTAATACTAATTCATCAAATTGCACAAATTAAGCATTTTTGCAAACTTTTCTCGATCTCTTAAAATAATGAACCGCATCGATCTGATTATAGGCTTAGCGTATCATCTCTCGATGAAGTCCATCTTCGAAGTGGTATGCTGTCAGCCTAGTCGTGCACCGGTTTAAACCGTGGCACGTGACATATACAGAAACAAATAGTTGGTCGAATGATAAGATTAACCACCATTAGGAACACCGAGAAATCAATGCCTACGCGCGCAACCGCAACATTTTTGTTGAAGCGTATATGCTAGAAAATGGGAACCCTGTCGTGGTAGTGCGACGCTTGAGGTCGAGCTTTTCAGCGAGCCCATTAATTTTGATGGCGCTGTTATTTGTGGACCAACATCAACGTGTCGTTCTCTGAAGTGTGGTTCCGTTAATTTACAGGTTAGCTGTCATGAACCGTGAGCGTGATGGAGAAGGAATGGTACCAAACTAAAGGGTGTATTTGGTGTGTTTGGCAACTCTCCTGCTATCCAAGCTAGTGGAGCTAATCTATTTAATGGGTTGAATTGTTATTCAGATAAAAATGTACCAACTCTAAACTTGGTTTTATTAGTTAGCTCAACTTTTGTCAAAACAATTACGAAAAGTTTACCAAAGAAACAAAAGTTAATTACGCAAGTATCATGATTCTTGCAAGTTGCAGACATTATAACTACAAAAAATCACCACGCACTGTTTGGCGATGATCCCGAAAATTCCATTACACAGCTAAACACAGTATCAATGCGCATTGAATGCCACGCGAACTCCTACGTACAGTTAGTAGTTATAAATTATAATCGTGTATTTCACTCTGTGTTCTTCTCTCTCTGGGTCCTTGAAGGTGACAACTAACGAAACTCCTTAACTCCTAATCAACTACTCACTTGGGGAAGTATATATTCAGAAAAACAAAAATAGCAATTCATGATTTGTCTCATTTTGATTCATATTCAGATTTTGAATATTCTCTGACTTATGTGTACCGGATAGTTTCTCGTGATCCATATTCATTCAGAATATTTTCTGAACTATATGTAATGGAAACTTTCTCGTGACAACTGTAGAGCTTTATATGTGGGACTGTTTGTTTATGCGAAAGCAATTATGAAGTAACTGAAGTAAAGAATGTAGAAGCTAGTTCTGCTACTTCTGAGTATAAAAAAATTGTTTGTTTATCTGAAAACCATACTTTTAATACTTTCTTAAATGTTGATGTGACACCTACGTTCCATCCATACTTTCAAAAAAAAATTCCACCCCTAAAAGCTCGAAAGTAGGCCAAATATATATTAATTAAGAAATAAATAATTTTTCTTATTAATACTTTCTTTATTTGCTACTTCCTAACAACTTTTAATTGCTATCCAAACAAAAAAAGGAGAATGATGAATAATAAGTATTATTTTCATTATTTCAAAAAATCTGTGAAACAAACAAAAAAGTATTACTTCTACTGGTTCCTACTTCATAAATTTAGAAGTTACGTCTTTGCTTTATTTTCTACTTCCGGTATTTCTGTCAAACCAAACATGCCCGTTTCGAACCATTGGAGAAGACATGAATAAACTCATTTTTCAAAAAGAAAAGATAATAAATTATCAATATGAGATAAATTACTATCTGAATTTTCTATATTTATATTGGAAGCTCAAACAAAGAGGATGATTATTGAATTTTTTAAAAAACAAGGAACAATAATAATGAGATAAATTATGATAAATAATTTATTTTAAACAATGAAGTGACATGATTGTTAAGAATTCCGAAAGATATACACCTCAATGCAATTCAAACAACATCCTTATTTCTTCAAAAGAAAGTATTTTGATGCCCCAAATTTTGTACACCCTTTTTTTTTCATTCTCCCTCTTTTTTCATTCTCCCCAATCCCACGGATGATCACGCGATCATTTGCCATACACCATGAGCATGGCCTCAGCGTGCTCCCGTACCACCTTCCACGCGCGCCTCACGTGCCTCTCCTCAGTGAGTGTGGCCCCCACCGCAAATCTTATCACGTAGACTCCGCCTATAACAGCATGAGTCACGAAAAGCTGGCCGGAGGCGTTGACCGAGTCCATGAGTTTCCGGTTCAGCTCGTTAACCCGGTCCAATTCATCCCCAGCGATTCGGGTACCAACCGGCGTTGGAACCGCCTGACCGGAAACAGACCGTCGCGAAATTCCTCGGCACGACGATCTCAAACCTCTCGTCCGCCGCCACCAGCCCTCGAACATTCTTCGCCATCTTAAACGTGGCACCTTAAGAAGTTCTAAGGTTCGCCACACCGTAGGCTCCGCAGGACCATCCACAGCTTCATCGCCCTGAACCGCGCTCAGCGCGATTGCCAGTCTTTGTAGTCAACCACCTGCCTTCGACTCCGTCGCCTTGTTTCTCAAGTACTCGGGGTTCGTTGACAGTGCGTTGACCAGAGCCTGCGGGTTCCCTGACCCAGAGACAGCAGCAGTCAAGGTTAGTGAAGAACCACTTGTGGCATTGAAGCTGAAGGAGGCCGCCCCTCAGACCCGTCGATGAAGTGCCGAAACTCCGGGCATATGCACACGCTGCCGCGTACGCCGCGTCACGTGCACCACATCCGTGCTCCGCCGCGACGGAGCACAGCCGGGGAGCCGGTCGACCGCAGTCGACGGAGGTGGTCCCCACAGTCGCCACACAAGAAAAGCGGGACCAGCCCGCCTCAACGTCCGCCTCCACGGCGCGCCTCAGCGATCCGGAGCGAGGCGAAGTTGTCCCTCTTGAGGGTTCGAAGGGCTCGGAAATTGGCGGGTAAGGATGCCGGCGATCTGGCGGCCTTCTGAAGCGCGCAATGCGTCTTGGTCGGATCCGTAGACGACGAGCCTGTCAGATCCGATTCCCTCCCGCGATCGACTCACATACCCCGGTCCCTGCGCCGCGACCAACGTGCACAGTATCGCCTCGCACGTCGTGCCCTGCAGAAACCCGCGCGCCCCACCGGAGAACAAGAACTCTCCGCAACGCAGCAGCTTCCCGATCCAGTCGGTGACGATCTCCTCGAGCTCAGTGGGCCGCAGCGCTGCGACGACATCCAGTTGAAGCACACGGCGTTGAACCCGGTGCTCAGCATCTCCCCGAGGAACCCGGCGGTGCTACCGCTCGACGGGAAGTAAGCGAAGTAGTTCGGGCTCTGCCAGTGAGTGAGGCCCGGGATAATGTGGTCGGAGATGTCGCTGAGGATGGTGTCCATGGATTCGGGCTGGTTGGGAGCGGATTCGGGCAGGAGTTTCTTGAGGTAACCCGGCTCCACTTGGCTTCGGACCGGGTAATTGTGGACGCTGTGGTAGTAGTCGGCGAGGAAGTCGATGACCTTGTGGCCTTGTCGGCGGAACTCCTCGGGGTCGAGAGGGTTCAAGGGGAGGAAGCCGAGGCCGGCGTCGAGAGCGTCGGTGCCGAGGCTGCCCATTTGGATAGATAGAGTTGGGATCGAGGTCGAAGATGAAGGGGATGAGCTGTGAGGATTTAACATGGAGGGAAGAGGGGGGTAGGGTTTATATAACGTCCCCAAACGAGGATGCTGACGATGGCCCACGCCACGCATCGTTTCAAGTGTTTGTTTGGTTGGAGAGTATCTGGGGATGTTTGGTCTTAAAAAATAAGAAACCTATTATGAGAAACTTATTTTTTATAATAGAGTCTTTTTTTGTTGGTTCACCATCTAAAAGTAAAAAAAAAAAAGATGAGATGAGTTGTTATCATCTTATTGAAGGATGTAACATAATTTTAAGGAAACTCATTTTATAATTTTTTTTTAAATAGATGGAAGACAAGTTTTAATGATATTCTTATCGGTTTTTTTTTTTTCCGATTCTAGAAAACCAACCAAACAGCCCTTATGTGAAAAGGGGGCAGAGGGATTAGAATTCTCTCGATGCCATCATAATCTCGAATGTTGGTGGAAAATGAGGAGCCATACGCGCGATTAACCTCAGAATGGTGATAGGTAAGGACACGTGCAGCGCACATAAAATTAGAAATGGGCTATCAACTTTCATTAAAACAAGAAGCTATTTTTTGGCAGTAGCGAGAGTGAGGATCCTCAGCATATGTCATTGGCTTTTAAACAAAAAAAAGCTATAATTTTATTGCACATTTTTTGTATTATTTTCAATCGATTGGTAAATATTGAAATGCTTATGAACTGCTCCAAATATATGCACGGGACATTGATATTAAGATGTTACATTGATGAGGTTCAAATTAATTTATTTTGAATATAATAAAATAGAAAAAAAAATACCACAAGAACCCAATCCTTACAAAAGATGAAACTGTAAAAAAGGAAATTCAACCTACAAATTAAATTATGAAGAGGATTAGCAAGTAGAAAAAAGGAATATGTTCATCTTTGAAGCCTTTCTACAAGAAAAAAAAATTAATGAAATAAAAATAAACATCTTTGAAGATAGAATATTGTGTTGTCATGGAGAATATGAGATACAGAACATGATGAATGCTTTGTTGGACACTGGAGCAAGGAGCTAAAAGGTTTCTTGAAGAGGGGATTAATAAAAGATTTATTTGGAAGGGAGATGGTCAGAAAAATAGGAACTAATAATTAAGAGAAGCTTAACAGTGCTAAGTAGAGAAATTAAATAGGTAAAAGCCTTTGATTTGACGTTGACGAGTGGCAAAAAAAAACAACCAGAAATTGTTGTTTTATTAGGGGCAGAAATTGTTGTTTTATTAGGGGCTGTTTGGTTTGTTTCCTAGATATAGAGAAATGCATTTCCATGTATAAAAACACAAGTTTTGAGTTTTCCAAACTTTTCCAAGAAATAGATCGTTTCGCTTTGGTTCGCACAAAAAATGGTAGGAAACCAATGCATTTATTTTTCTTGTGTTTGGTTCGCATGGAAAAAAAAGAAAAAACTTTTGTTTATATGGCAAAAAGCTAACATGGCTGCAGTTTTCGTCAATTTCACGATGTTGAGAAAGGAATTGGGAGAGAGAAAAAAAATTGATGTGGCGGCGCTTTTCACCGAGTTTCCCTTCTTCAACCTAGCGAACCAAAGATGGGAAAAAAAATCGACGGAAAGCTTATATTCTACGTGGCCACGAAAAATCTAATGTGGAGGCGGTGTAAAATTTTTCCTCCGAGTTAAAAAACGAACCAAACAGCCCCTTAGTATAGTATTGATATTATATTCTAGTTTAGATGAGTTGACTGTTAGATCTAACATTTGAGATCTAAATCTTAAAGTCATGATTAATTCAAAGAGATTAACAAGAATCAAAAGGTGCGGAAGCATATACCTGAATCCATTGAGGAAAACCTTATTAGGGTTTTGATAATCTTCTAACATTAGGGTTTCTCCCTTATGGATCTCTTTAGATGGAGATAAGAGAATGAGAGCGGCTAACCCTAGATTAGGGACCATAACCCTATATATATAGGTGTTGTATATTTATAATTTGGCCCCTCATCAAATTATAATTATAACTCGGTATCTACACATATAACCTCATGATTTATTTAAATACCCATTAACCCAAATTAATTGATCACTTTAGTGGGTTATCCTGAAGAATAGCAATACACACAGATTAATCATATGTGCCCACAAATAGATTTAATTATATTTAAATCCAACAATCTCCCACTTGGGCACCATATGCTTCCTTAAATTGTGTATAACCTTATGAGCTCAAAATTGTTATCACTGAAAAGGTATTTCTGAACAATCTCGTCCATTGACTATATCAATATAGGATCAAAGCGGCATTCGTCACATTTATCGTGACTCGACCCATCAATGGTCACATATACCAATACAATCAAACGACATAGATCAATCATGAATGTACAGCATGAAAATTACATGCAATGTGATCAGTACATGTCTATTTTCAACTGGTCCTACTTTAGTGAGGTCAAAACCAAACATAATGTAACAGAGTGTCTTAATTGAATACTTTATTCTGATCAGACAATACAACCAAACACAAAGCACCAAAAATTACAAACTCCCACTAAATCATGATATCCTCTAATATCACCACACCCATATGAGCGGAATGCTCATGAAAGACCTTGGGTGACAATCCCTTAGTAAGAGGATCTACTATCATGGAGTTTGTCTCAATGTGCTCTATGGATATCTGTCCACTCTGTACTCTTTTTTTCACAACCAGGAACTTAATGTCAATATGTTTTGACTTAGTTGAGCTCATGTTATTATTGGAATACATTACTATAGATTTATTGTCACAATATAACCTTAGTGGTCTTTCCACATTTTCCAAAATACGAAGTCCAGTGATAAAATTTCACAGCCATATTCCCTGATTGGATGCCTCATAGCAAGCTATAAATTCTGCTGCCATAGTGGAGGAAGCTACAAGTGTTTGTTTGACACTTTTCCATGATATAGCTCCTTCTGCTAACATATAAATGTAGCATGATGTAGACTTCCTGCTATCTTGACATCCAGCAAAATCAGAATCAGAGTACCCAGTGACCTCCAGCTGTTCTGATTTTTTGTATGTAAGCATATAATCTTTTGTTTTCTGGAGATACCTCATAACCCTTTTGACTGCTATCCAATGATCCATATCAGGGTTGCTTAAGTATCTGCCTAACATCCTAACAATGTACACAATATTCGGACACGTACATACCTGAGCATACATTAGACTTCCTAAAGCCGAAGCATAATGAATCTTCTGCATTTCCTGAATTTTAAGGTTGCCTTTAGGGCACTGATTGAGACTAAACTTGTCTCCTTTAGCCACATAGGTGTCTCCTGGTCTGCAGTCTTGCATGCCAAACCTTTTAAGTACTTTATCGATATAGCTCTTTTGTGATAATCCAAGTATACCTCAAGAGCGATCTCGATGTATCTGGATTCCTAATATAAAAGAGGCGTCCCCAATATCTTTTATCTCAAAATTCTTTGATAGAAATCTCTTGTTTCCTGCAACATGCCTATATCATTAGTGACAAGCAATATGTCATCGACATACAGAACCGGAAAAATATACTTACTCCCACTGAACTTGTGATATACACAATCATCAACAATGTTCATCTCAAAACCGAACGAGATAATTATTTATTGAAACTTGTAATACCATTGACAAGGAGCTTGCTTGAGTCCATAGATAGATTTCCTTAATTTGCAAATCATATTCTTTGGGTCTCCTGACACAAAGTTTTCTGGTTGTACCATATAAATCATCTCATCAATGTCGCCATTGAGAAATATAGTCTTAACATCCATCTGATGTAACTCAAGATCATAATGAGCAACAAGTGTCTTGATTGTTCTGAAAGAGTCTTTCGATGAAACCTGAGAGAAAATCTCTGTATAATCAATCCCTTCCTTTTGAGTAAATCATTTAGCTACAAGACGTGCCTTATACCTCTCCACATTACCATTTGCATCTCGCTTGGTTTTAAAAATCCATTTACAACCAATTGGTTTTGCACCTTCTGGCAACGGGACAAGTTCCCAAACTTTATTGTCTTGCATAGACTTGTACTCTTTATTCATGGCATCAATCCACTCTTGAGAGTTAGAACTTTTCATGGCCTGAGAGAAGTTGATTGGATCATCTTCCAACATTTCATTACTTTCCTCATGTTCTTAGAGAAATACAATATAATCATCCGAAATAGCATTTCTCCTTTCTCTCGTGGATCTCCTTATTGGCATTGGTTCTTGAGGTTGTTGAGTTTGGTCTTCTGGAACAGGGAGTTATTCAACATTGTCATCTTAAGGTTCCGGATTTACTTCTTGAGCAACAACAGCAGGTATATGAACCTGAATATTGTCAAGAGTAACTGTATGAATTGGATCTGAAGTCAATTCCTCCTCAAAAATAATGTCTCTAACCTTATTTCTCCCAAACTCAACATCCTTAAATAATATTGCGGTTCCCTTCTTAAAAATATTCCTGAATGTGGGATCATAAAACTTATAGCCCCTAGAGCGTTCAGAATACCCAATAAAGTAGCTGCTAACTATTTTGGAGTCCAATTTCTTTTCATTTAGCCTATAAGGCCTTGTCTTAGCTGGACATCCCCAAATATGTAAGTACTTTAAACTGGGCTTTCGACCAGTTCAAAGCTCATAAGATATTTTAGCAACTGCTTTACTTGGTACTCTATTCAGAATGTAAGCTGCTGTCTTTAGTGCTTCTCTCCAGAGTGACTCTGATAAAGAAGAATGAGCAATCATACTTCTTACCATATCCTTAAGAGTCATGTTTCGTCTTTTAGTTACACCATTCATGCTAGGTGAACCCGACATGGTATACTGTGGGATGATACCGCATTCCTCTAGGTATCTAACAAATGGTCCTGGACGTTGTTCACCTGAACCATCATATCTGCCATAGTACTCACCACCACGATCAGATCTAACAGTTTTAATTCTTCTGTTGAGTTGATTCTCAACTTTAGCTTTATAGGCTTTGAACATGTCCAGAGACTCAGATTTTTCATGAATAAGATATAGGTACTTATAACGTGAGTAATCGTCTATGAATGATATAAAATATTATTGACCATTC